TTTTCATTGAAGTTCTTTTATATTACTGGGATCCTTTCGTGTTTCCAATAATAGAATACGAATCCCAAAGTTTAAATTACCACTTATATTATTATGAAATAAACCTTGTCTTGTTTAAAATATAACTATGCAGAATGTAATATATGGCTACTATCGTTGTTTCATAGAATTATAAGGGTTCCCAGAAAAGGGTGGAATGGCGTAAAAATTTACGGAGTTATGAATTTTCGGAGAGAACCATATTATTGACATTTTTTCGGGGAGCTTCTGGGTAGTGTTGCCCAAAATAGGTCTTGGTCTAGCAAAGTACAAGACCAAGACCAAGGCCGCCTGAGTGTTGCAAGAGCAAGACCAATAATGGTAAAAAAAAAAACGCTTTTATAAATAAAAATTAAGGCAAAATAGTTACTAATGCTTGACAAATGTAGTTACTATATGTAAAGAATTGGTATAACCAATATACATTTGTATTTAACTCTTAAATTTTTTTTATTTGGGCTTAGTAAGGTTTTCTCTATATGAAAAAACTACTGTAATAGGCTAATAGGTAACTGCAAGGCTGTTGAGAGACTCTTTTGCAAGACCAAGACCAAGACTGAGTGCGCAAGACCAAGACTTGTGTTGGTCTCGCATTTGGGCAACACTACGTCGGGGAAACTTTCAAATCAAGGAAAGAGACAAAAACTTAACTACAATTTTATAATTTTAATTTTACTCAACTTTTTTGTGAAGAAGAGAACAGGGCATGGAACGAAAAAAAAAACACTTATATTACACTACCCTCACACTACCCTCAAAACTCCCGATGACCTTGATAGTGCCGTAAATTCCTTTACTACCACAATCCAACAAGCCGCCTGGACTGCTTCCTTCCCAAAAGACTCCTACAGAATTCCTAAAAAGACCATTCTACCCCAACACCTCCTTGACCTAATCCAAACCAAACGCCGTGCCAGATTATTGTGGCAACGTACCCGACATCCTACCGACCGCTGCTCCTATAATTATTACTGCAAAAAATTAAAACTGGAATTAGCCACCTTCAGATCACATTCCTTCAACTCCTACCTATCCTCCCTTTCTTCTCGCGACAATTCCCTTTGGAAAACCACTACCTAAATCTTAAATCCTCACCGCATTTCCCATCCCCTCCGACGAGATGATGGCTCCTGGGCAACATCTGACGAAGATAAGGCTGAGGAGTTCGCCATTCACCTATCCAATACATTTATTTCACATCCGGAATCCCATCCTGCCCACACCGTAACAGTAGAAGAATTCCTTACATCACCAATCCCACTTTCCTTGCCCCCAAAAGCTATTCATCCTTCCGAAGTGAAATTTCAATTAAAAAAATTAATCCCCCGTAAAGCTCCTGGACATGATCTCCTTAACCCTCAAATCCTTCGACAACTTCCATCCAAAGCAGTCATATTCCTTACATATATCTACAACTGTATCCTACGCACCACCCACTTTCCTCTGCTATGGAAACACTCCACTATTATCCTTTTCCAAAAACCAGGCAAACCTCCCAATATCTCAACATCCTATAGACCAATTAGCCTACTCCCAATCCTTTCAAAAATTTTTGAAAAGATCCTTTTGAAACGAATCCTCCCCATTATAGAATCCCAAAATATTCCTTCCCATCAGTTTGGTTTTCGCTCCCAACATTCCACTGTTCAACAAGGACTCCGAGTTGTTGATCATATTTCCTCAGCCCTAGAAAACAAGGAATACTGTTCGGGTGCATTTCTGGACATTGCACAGGCATTTGACCGGGTATGGCACTCCGGACTGCTCTTCAAGCTTAAAATCCATTTACCTCAGTCCTTGTACCTAGTCCTCCGATCCTACCTCTCTGACCGCTCCTTCCGAGTTCGCTGTGGAACAGAATTTTCCAATATCTACTCCGTTAAAGCCGGTGTTCCCCAAGGCAGCGTCTTGGGTCCCGTGCTTTACATCCTCTTTACTGCTGACATCCCTGTTCATCCCGATACTTTTCTTGCAACATTCGCTGACGACACCGCAATCTTATCATCCAACTCTGATCCCAACATAGCATCCTTAAATCTCCAAAACCACCTCACCTTGATTGAGCACTGGTGTAATAACTGGCGCATTAAAGTTAATGAATCTAAATGCCAACATATCACCTTTACACTCCGACGCAGTTCCTGTCCACCTGTACACTTTAATTCCATCCAGCTTCCTTACTCAGACACAGTCCGGTATCTTGGCTTTCATTTAGACCGAAGACTAACGTGGAACCCACATACTAGACTCAAAAGACAAGAACTCAACCGACGATACGGCCAGCTATACAGACTACTAAACAGAAAATCCAAACTTTCTATTGAAAACAAATTACTTATCTACAAGACAATACTGAAACCTATATGGACATACGGACTTGAACTGTGGGGGACAGCAAAAGCTTCTAACATCAAACGTATTCAATCCTTTCAATCTAAAGTCCTTCGAACAATAGTTGATGCTCCGTTCTATGTAAATAACAAAATCCTACACCATGACCTTAATATCCCATTTGTCCTAGACCTTATTCCAGAAAAATTCTCCAAATTTCACCAAAACCTTACCTATCATCCAAATCCCCTTGCACAATCTCTATCCAGCACCACCCATCCTTACAATCCTCCTCGAAGGTTGAAGCGGCAGTGGCCCAGAGACCTTTTGTAAATAAGCATCTATTGGAGTTTTGGCAATGGCCAGATCCTCCACTCAAGCCCGAGTGTGTATGATTAGGTTAGTTCTTTTGTTTATATACATTTATTTTATTTTATTGTATTTATTTTTATTTTATTTTATTGTATTTATTATTATTAAGTTTCTGTATTATTTATTTATTTATTTTTTTTTTATTGTAAATAGAGTGTGAGTGTGCTTTCTCTGATCACTATTATAAATGTCCTTGATGTGACAGAATGTAATATTTCTAAATAAACAAATGAATGAATGAATATTTTTATAAATTTTTGGTATCACTGGAATTTTCATTGTCGATCATTTTTCTTTTGGAACTAGAATTTTTTCCCTTGCAACTTTTCAAGTAAAGGTTTTACAGACCTTTTATTTTATTTTTTTCAAATGTTTAAAAATTATGTAGATTGCGCTAAAAATTCAATCTAAAAAATTATTTAAATCTTACCTACTCAAAAAAATGATACTATAGAATCATGTTTGATTCGATTAAGACAAATTATAACTCTAATCTAAGTCCAATTACTGTTTTTTTTTTTTTTAACAGAACTTTATAATGCCGGATAAATACAATTTAAACTTTTATCGTATACCTGGAACTTTATCACAAAAAAGTTCCATAGAACTTTTATTTTAAGTTTTTTTCCTAAAACGTTTTACAGAAACTGTTAAAATGAAACTTTTTACAAAAGTTCTAAATAATGGAAAAGAGTATTTAATTCTCGGAAGGAGAGTGCACCATAACTCTCAGTGAGGGGAGAATAGACACTTCTGAGGATTATTTATTATGTTATATCTATTATTTTATGGGAACATGTAAATATGGAAAAAGAGAAAAAAACAAAATTCAATAATTTTTAGGCCGAATGATAGGTTAAATTATAGGACAATACCTATTCACTCTTAAACCTTAAACGCCTCAGAATAATTCATAATTTTCAATTATTATAAATATTTTTATTTAAAACATTTAAATATTGAAATTTTAAATCTACATGATACTAATATTTAAAGGTTTATTTATAATGGCTGAAAGGTAAACAGAAGAATTCCGTGAGAACTAGCACACGTGTGCAAGAAATCCCTGAAAGCGACCAACTGTCCCAACACCTTATCGAAACCATTATCAGCTGTTTACTTACAAGCTCAATTTTTTAAACTTGGGGATTTTAGTTCGAACTGTGCGACATCTGATGAGAATCGTCATGCACTCAATATCCTATAAGATTTAATTATTTCAACATCACCTCTGTCTATGTAGACCATTAATCAGTGGTTGCGAAGGACCAGAACATTGGTGTTCCGCGAAAAAAAATATTAAGAAAATAAATGTTCTAGAAATAGATTTATTTTGCATAAAAAAAAAAAAAAATCAGTAATAATATCATAAAAAAACAAGTACCTGTAAAAGTACAAACACAAAGAAAAAATACTTAAGATGAGAGTTTAAATTATGATCTTATTTGTACCCTTCATAAATTGGAAGTTTGAAAAATATTTTCTTCTCAAGTACAAGGGCATTTGATCACGAATTTCTTTCTTTATTTTATAATTTAGCTCTTTTCTACTTTAGCACACCAGTGAATTTTTTAAGTGTATTTGCATTTGGAATAAAATATCTCAGAAAGTAAAAATCGGACCAGCATACTGTAAGTGAGAGAAATGTTCAGAATTTTATATTCTTTGGAATGAGATAGGATTCAAAATTGTGTCTTAACAAAACGTAGTGTTGGAGAGGCAAACAGGGAAAAATAGTGTCGAACACCAACTGGTAACGAGTTTTATTGAAGATATGAACTAAAATATCACATAAATTAAAAATTGGACCTGAGATATATATATATACATGTAATTCTGATATAAGTAGAGAGTTAGACGATTGCTAAAACAATGGAATAGAATAAAAGTGTCTTTCTCAGGTTTTCATGAAGTGAAATAATTACTAAATGCAATTTTATTTATTAACAGACGTTATCATATATATATATATATATATATATATATATATATATATATATATATATATATATATATATAAAATACAAAAGAGGAGTTCAAATGTTATATAGCTAAGGTATCGTTTTGTTATAATACTTTTTTTCCCATAATATTCAATTGGTTAGATCAGTTTCATAAAGTGATATTTATAACTTTGAAGACATGACAACCAACCCAAGCAGTAATTATAACCGCTCCCAATAAGACAAGTTCAAATTGTTGCTATGTTTAATGTTCGAATACAAATGTTCTAAATCATTTGTTATGATCAGTATATTATTTAAAAAATGCCGTTAATATAACTAATCTTATCTTAATAAAAATTTAATGGTCTGGAAAAAAAAATTTATTTTTCATCCGAAACTAAACTGTAGTAGCTTTCCTCGTATCCAAAGGGTGAGGTACTGTAAGATGAAGAGGTAGGAGAGAGTGGCCAAGACGAGGACCGACACAGCCAAAAGAGGTCCTTGGAGGTTATCCTGGAGGGAGAAGAGCAAGGACCAAGCGCTGAGGACGTAGATGACGATCGGCAAGGATACCCCGACCAGGATGGACAGTTGGAGGGTCATCATGTCGAACAGGACGCTGTTCCAGTCCAACCTTCGTCTTCGATAAAACAAACAAAACATGTATCAGGGAGAGGAAGAATTAAAGTAAACCACATTTTCGTTAATGGAGGAAGTTGACTATTATTTCTTGTTAAATATTAAGTAAAAATACCTAAAATTAGTCGTAATATCAAGAAATAAACTATAATTGTCCATATCAACATCAACAAACTGTTATTGGTTGCATAATTACCTATATTGGTATCCGAGTCCGGAAGAGCCACAAAGAGGGTAAAGGATTAGTTCGCACATTTGCAGGTATGTAACCAAATTTTGAATGGCTCAATCGATTGTCATGTTTGATGACTTAAATTACTCAGTGAGATTCGAGGGTCTGCCATTTAATAAATTTTAACCCGTCCAGGCCGGATTCGAACCGGTGCTAACTAGAGTCGAGTTCGCTATGATTGTGAAGTCGTAACTCTACCAGCTTCCACGATCTTACAGCTATGGAGATGAGACACCAGAAAAGGATTGGTGTGAAGATCAGACGGAAATTTAATCACATTGACACCATTACTGAGAGGACCTAGAAATATGTCCTGAAAGACAGATAATAGTTCTGCCAAGTGTGTAGGATAGGTGACGGAAAAAAGAAAAAAGCGTTTCTTAAAGGATCTTCCTCGTAGAATGCGTTCGATTGATACGTTCAGAATTAACTACGATGACCAATGGAGGGTAAGGAAGTTGAATTATGAAAATTAATCATTAGATTTGATTGAAATTGAAGCCATGTTACAAAAATTAACTTTTTAAAAATGACAAACGTTCGTCTTTGATATGAGGCATTGCGGATACGAAGATCGAACTCAAGAAATCTGAATATTGAGAAAATCCCAGTAAAAGTTCCTACACATGGGGCGAACTCAACGAGTCGCAGTACAGTAAAACTTCAATTAACCGTCACTCATTAAATGAGATGGTCATTAAATTATGATAAAGTTTGTTCTTCAGTTTCTGTTTACCTTAACTATAGTATGACTAAAATTTTTTTTGATCAAGTGTCGAGTTCACCCTTCATACCCGCACCACCTCATATGATATCACTCATATGTTTCCTAATAAATTAATCAATTAAAAGTATGGGAAATTACACAGTTAACGTTCGATAACAATTTTCGTACTCACATCTCTTTCAAAACGACATATTTCAACGTCTCCCATGAAGGTATGACAGGATCGTTTTCGTGAAATCTGAATAACCTTCTCCTTGTGAATGTCGGTTGTCGGTTGGCTATTTTCTTAAGCAGTGGTATGCTCTGCATTGAATCACATTTGTTAGCGAAATAAGCACGTGCGAAAGATACTTGTGACATTGAAAATTTGGACAACATAAACTAAATTATTTTTGTGGTTTTAGACGATGTTTTAAAATTTTGATCTTAGTTCAAATCGTTTTTTTAGTATTTTTTCATGTATCCGCCGAAAGTCATATGTATTATTTAGAGGGAAACATGTGGGAGTTAATACTGATATAAAGCCGAAGAATTTTTTTATTTCATGATTAATTTAATGAATAATCGTTAAAGTAAGTTTTATGAAGACCTATCCTTCATTCATAATTAAGAAGCTAGTTTCTAAATAAAACACATTACAATCCTGAAGATGCTTATTATAAAATGAGCAGAAAAGAGCAAGGTAGTCTTTAGACTTAGAACAGGTCACAACAGGATGAGGGCACACCTCTATGAGAAATGTCAAAACACAGAGCATATTATTCAGACATGCCCTGAACTACAGAATATCAGAAAGCAAATTTGGCTAAACCCCATTTGGCAATGAACCTCTACGGTGGTCTGGAAAATGTCAGAAAGACCGTCGATTTTATACTCTTAATCCCGGACCTCACCGTTTAAGGAAAATTCGAAGAAGACGAAATTTCTAAAACTTCTTTGAGTGATAATCTTTTTGTTTAATTTGAATATAAAACACCATTTAAAAAAAACAAAAACAGAACATTCACTACACAGTTGGATTATTACAAAAATGACAGTGAAACTGTTTAAAATCATTTTTATTCTCCAAAGTTCTGATAGTTTGTCAAATTCGAAAGTTCCTACTTTTGATAATAATTGGAGTTAAAAATAATAAACTTGACGACCACTCAGATGTCACCAATAATATTCCTGAAGTTACTAAAGCTGATCTGGTCACCCACTCCAAGTCCCATAACCGTCATCATCTCTTGGTACTCTCGGGGTGACAACCTGTCACCCAGCCCCGTCAAAACTCTCTCCAGTTCTTCGACTCTAATCAAACCTTCTCCGTCAGTGTCCAAGACTTTGAAAGCTTCTTGAACCATCTCTTCGGTGTTGGCTTGCTTCATCTTGTTCGCCATCAATGTCAGAAAATCTGCAAATGTTATTTTCTTTGGTTCTTCACTGATTTCATCCATCATAGCCTCTGCTTCTTCGTCTGTCACTATGTGTCCTAACCGTCTCATCACGATACCAACGTTGTTTCCCTCAATTACACCTTTTCCACTTTTATCAGCTAATGAGAAAGCTTCATGCAATTCTCGAATCTGTCCTTCGCTAAATAATTCTGTCATATTCAGCAATTTATTAAAAGGTAACAATTATATACTGGTTTGCAATACCGAATCGTTACCTTTGATAACATCTGTTTATAAATAAACTTGTATTTAGTTACTACTTCACTTCGGTCAATATCTTAATCGTTTTTATAAGAACCAAGTCAGAAATCTTTAATTGTTATCTACCCAGAACATATTCTAAGATAACTTTTTAGAAGGGGGTCACAGTTATAAATTTAACCTTACATAAAATAACACATTTTTTGAAATTATTTTAATTCATTAACGTTGTTTTATTGAGTTGAATAAAACCTTGGAAAATTGGAGGTACTCTGTTTATTCCAATACAATCTACTAGCTGGCCCATGCGAAAACACAACCGATAGAATAGTATGGAAATATATATGCAATGTATTATGAGTTGGAATAATTCATTTTCCTTTTCTTGGTCGAATTAAAATAGTTATTTTATTAATTCATAAAAATAAACCAAAACATTTGTAAACTTTACCGTAGTCTATAACTTTGCCCATAGTGGTCCGATTTCGGTATGTATTTTTTATTTATTTTATAGGAAATTTTGTAGCCTTTTAATTATTCATGGAGTTTTTTTTTTTTTTTTTTATGATATTTGCTTTAATAGTATAGCGCGCTAACCACACTGCTATACTGTCCCCTTCATGGAGTTAATGCACTGTAAATTGCACACTTTTCCCCTTATGGCTAAATTAAGTTTGTTTGTTTTTCTGAGATGTTGGGGGCTGTGTTTAGACAATATTTAAAATGATGGTCCGATAATTGGAACTAACGAAGATATGGCGAAATAATAAATATATAGTATAAATTGTATTTATTTATGAAATTTTTGTTTGTTTTTGATTTGAAGTTGTGTTTTTTTAATATATAAAAAAAAATTGATGCCATCTTCGTGTTGTGCTTCAAAATTTCAACAATATCATTACCAAATCCACTTCACTCCAATGTTCTTTATAGGCGTAACGCTTAGTCTAGATGTGGATCACCGTGATATTTACCACGAAGGAAAGAAACTCAAGAGATGCCTCCTTTGTCAATAGGTTTTCATGTTTTAGCCTTGAGTATCCGATTTGTAGTTTTGCTAGGGTGGTCTCTTTTATTCTTTTCAACTCCAGGTGCACTCGATTAGTACCTACAGAGGGCTGGAAATTGTAATTTTTCATAAGAATCAGAATCCATGACAACAGTAGCATCAAGATTTCCTACCGCAGGTATAAGGTTGGGCTCAAACGGAAACAGAAAAACTGTACATTTAAGAGCTTTAAAAGGCAGTTACTTAATCTCAAAAATTGTCAGAGTTATCCTTTACTACACAATAATCAGAACTTAGGAAAGAAGGTTTCGAAAACGGTTCGTGTAAAAACGATAATTCATATTTTATAACACTTCTTTGAAAACAATATTAGAAGCAATAATACATAAATTACAATAGGCTGTATCATTGAAAACAATGGTACGATTTCCATGTTGTTTTTTTTCGTTTTGTAGAGAATTCAGTAAATTTTCAAATAATAATGTGTCTAATCCAGAAAAGAAATGTATACTTTTTAAGTAATTGGCAAATAAATTTTCTTTTCACTCATAACTGTTTTCTTTTAAATTTCGGGTGGATGTTTCTATGAATCGTCATTGCTGCATTTAATATCCTTTAGTTTGATACCTCATTCAACAAAATACATCGCTCCTGAGAGTCGGAAAAAGGATCGTTACCGCAAAAAACTGTCGTATTATATTATAAGATAGATTATACCGAGAATGAGTGTAAGACGGGTGCCAGGAAAAATAATGAATAATTACTGAGCTTCTACGAGTATATTATGTTCAACAATATACGTATTATGTTCAACATGCATGGAGCTATATAAGCTAAATTACTAACTACACTAATATAATAATATTACATAACAATAAATATAATAGAACTTACTAATAAAACAATCTATCAAAATAATGTGCATATAAATAACTAGAATAACAATAACAACATGTGCATGCTAGCTAGATATATTTCTATATAATGAAATATAATAGATAGCTCGAGAAATAAATATGATAAAACATTAACACAAGCAATAAATAGTTGAACTCCCAACCAGACGTCAGCCTCCAGAAGGTCCTATTCTTTGGCGCTCTACTGCTCGTGGGGATTTATCCTAACAAAGATCTATTCTCTATTGGCTTCTTTATCACAGAATACAGTGCTAACATAGGAGACATTCACTAGTGCTAACTTTCACCATTTTCCGAACCTTCCTACGGTTTTCTCAACTCAGTGTTGCCACCGGTCATAGTTCGCAGCTCCAATCCTCCAATATAGGCCCCCCTCCTCACATCGATGAATCCCTTACCAGCTGGCTTATGAATTCTGGGCCATTTTCTTAAAAAAAATTTATTTATCATTCCAATTCCGACTTTCTTGTAAAGTAGATAATCGTTTTGGATGGTATTGCAGAATATGTCCACATTCCTGATAGAAGGGAAACAAGGGTATCAACTAGGTATCTTGCTGCTATTGGGAGCAACAGAAACCCTACCGTGTATTAGGTGTGGGTAGACGGTAATCAGTATTGTTGCCCAAGACCAGGACTGGTAAAAAAATCGATTTTTAAATAAAAATTAATGCAAAATAGTTACTAATACTTGACAATCTTAGTTACTATATGTTAATAATTGGTATAACTAATATGCATTTGCATTTAAATCCTCTAATTTTTCATTCGGACTTGGTTAGGTTTCTACTATCTAAAAAAATACAGTAATATCTCTGTAGTAATAAACTAATAAGGAACTGCAATACTGTTACGAGACTCTTGCGCAAGACCAATGTATCAAGACCATGATCAAGACTGAGTTTGCAAGACCAAGACTCGTTTCGGTCTCGCATTTGGGCAACACTAGTAATCAGGTGACACTTATTCCTAATAAAGCGGAGACACATGTTAGTCCGGATTCGGTAAACGTAAAGTTATAACTTGGGTAAACTAATCATTGATAAGAATATTAACAGAGCAGTATCCTACTAAACCGTACATATCCGCATTACTAGGATAGGCGAGACCACAAGCTGGATTCAGATAAAGAAGCAGCAAGCAAGACCAGATCCACATCCATGCATTTGCCGATTTCAAAGCAGCCTATGATTCTGGGGACAGGAGCTGTCTTTGGAACAAAATGTGAACAGAACAAAATATATGATAATAAACCGATAATCACCCCACTAACAGGTTCTGCGTAGAAGGGAAATCATTCCCGAGAGTAGAAAAATTTAAATACCTTAAATACCACAATAACCTCAATTAATAACCAAAGGGTAGAAATAGACCAGCGTATAACTAGCTTAAGCAGAGCTTTCTTCTCCTTTTCAAAGTTATTGAAATCCGGAAAAATCTCAAATTCAGGGTGTACAATGTTATGATAAAGCCAGTTCTAATATATGGCTGTGTGACCTGGACACTAACAAGCATTCTAGAAAAAAGTATTGAAAGATTTGAGAGCAAAATACTCCGCACGATAACAGGAGCGATCTGTGATCAGAGTACTAACACATGGAGAAGAAAGACAAATAGAGAACTGCTTATAAAACTGGTCAATCAATCTCCCGTGATATGAAGACACGGAGGTTAAGATGGGCGGGGCATGTGGCTCCTAGCAATCCATCTGGAAGCCTCTAAGTAATCTTCTGGAGACAGCCAAACGGCCATACGTTCTGATTATCTTGGTTGATTCCCACTTGGACTCTCCCATTTGAATAGAACGGATCCAGCTTGCATTAGAAGTCGACGACTATGGCGCTTTCGTATTAGGATGTAAATTATCCAGATGGATTTTCATCTAAAGGAGAATATAGAATAACAATGCACTACTAAATACTAACATAATAACTGTTTATAAACAAGCAGGTAACCATGGTAACGGGTTCAGAACACGTACCATCTATTCAAGAAAATGACTTCTCAGGTTCTAATGAGCAAAACTAATTACAAGGACTAGCAGTAAACAACCTTTTTGAATAAACCTCTACTACGATTCATCTCAAGAAACAGAAGACGTTCCTCACCTCGTACTTAAAAGACAACGTTACCTCATACACGAGCTAGTCTGTCCCTGCTTACAATAACGTGTTTTAAAACTATTGTAATTCATTAGACGGTTTTCATTGAGTTGATAAAAACTTAAATTGAAGGCAGTATTTTTATTTTATTACTATTACCATTCATTTCTTCAAGATAAATTGGTAGTTGGATATGAGTCGTATGTAGTCATAATAACCCTCATAAAAAAATTTATATTTATATTTTCATTATAATTTCGAGCATCGTTTCATAAGGTATACAAGCCTCCGTACCCGATTGATGTGTTTATTCTTTACGAAAATCTCAAATAAATACTGTAAAACTATTTCGAAAAACGTTTCTATTCAAAATATATCTTATAGGAAGCTTGTTTTGTTCCCGAACAATTTCCTCTTGCTCTTTTGTCTTTCGTGGTCGAGCATTTTTCTCTTTTCTCCATTTTTTAAAATATTTTTTTAGGAGACCTCAAAAATAAATCAGGCCCGGGCCTCAAACTGTATAGATAAGCCACTAGAAAAAGAGTATCGTTAGAACAAAGATATTTTCAAACTAATTTATTTCACGATCAAGTTCATCTCTGAGGAAAATTTAATTATTTTTAAAATAAGCAAATGTCCAGGGATATGTTTCAGTTTCGAGTTATTCGAGAAGCCAAAATAAAGTAAAGGTGTTTCAAGAGAACCTTCACAAAATAATCTGAAAATACTTTTGTAAGTATGGCTACAAACGTAAAGATGTGTGGAAAAACTTAAATTTATTAATAAATTCACATTTATTAACTTATTCTGAACAGATGTAAGTCCGTGTGGTTCATTTAATTACCGCATATCCAATCCCGAGTTAACAAACCGATCAGTAACGATCAATTCCTCGAATATTTAAATGAAGAATATCCGATAAATATATCGATTTTTGGAGACTGTATGGAATGTAATAAGAATGCAAGCTGGGTGGCCCCCTCCAAGATAGACAAGATGGCCGGAGAGTGCTATCTTCGGGGCCATCTTCGTTTCGCCATCTTCTCATCCCTTCAGCTAATTACCTAACGTCATCCGGCTGAATATCTCCACTCCACTCTTGATCTATTTTCTTTCTTGTTTTTATTCGGATGTCAGCTGAGAGCAGATCTATCGGCCGATAGCGGCCAGTCGCGGACC